TTTTTTTTTTTTTATATAATATATATATATATATATCTCCCTATATATTAATTCAAAACGTGTTGAGTCTAAGTGGCAGATTGTCAAGCTTCGGATGTTGACATGACGAAAATATATGTTTCGTGATGTTGTTTTTATATTATTTTTGCTTAGGAGATAAGTTTGGTATTAGACATAAATAATTTTTTATCATATATTTCTAAACTCAATAGCTGTGTTGTACACAGGTATTGTACTAGTATATGTTGTTTCACTATGAAAGATCCATCTACTAAAAAATGGGAATTGATTAACAATTAAATCTATATAGCTCTATAATTAAATCTCTAATGGTCCATTCCATCCTTTGGAGCTATGAGCCCTACTACCACTCTCTATCACTTCATGGACCACTACTAACTACTAAGTACTCAAACATTTTTTTACAAAAATATATCAATTTTCCATTAATTGCCTTTTAATTGATTCAAGAAACCCAATCCACCATAGCTTGTGATCACTATTATTTTGCATAAAGTGATAGTTATTATTTACTATAAATTCAAATCTACTTTCAAAATTAATTTTAACTAGTACTAATACCCATGTACAACATGAGTATTGAGTTAATGAATATATGTGTAAAATTATTCATGTCAATATCAAACTTAACTCTAGAGCAAAAATAATATAAAAACAACATCACGAAGCATAGATTTTCGCCATGTCATCATCCGAAGCGTGAGAATCTGCCACCTAGGTCCAACACGCTTTAAATTAATATATAGGGAGGGATTTGCAATCTATAAACTCTCAAGTCTCAACACTCTTTTATTGTTTTGGAAAACCCTTTTTTAACATTACTCTTGAGTAGATAAAAGAGAAATCTGCAAAGCAAAATTATATCCAGATTGACTTGTTGGCTGGTGAGGGAAAGAAAGGAGAAAATAGATAAAAATATAATCTGTATAAGCCTATAAGGCCAAAAAAAACAAAGGAGACGTGGAAAGTGGGCCCTGTGCAGTAATAAAGGGGCGATGTAAATAATGGACATAGCCCCCCAAATGGGGTTTCCACAAGTGGGCCACGCAACTAACACGAAAGGTCCCTATCCAGACCAAACCCTTGTGGGGACCAACTCTGGATCAAAAAGTTGGGCTTTAAGGGTTGGGCGGGGGCCCGTCTAACAGGCCATATTGGGCCCCACCTACTGTCATCCCCACCTACACGGTGACATACATAGGTGTAGAACATTGATGGGCCCTGCGAAAAATAAAAAAATAAAGAATTAAAGAGAAAAAAAAAAGCTTTTTGGGCCACCACCAATACCACCACCGGCCACCGTGGTCCCACCACTCAGAGCTGGCCTCCACCACCACCAGGTAGGGGGGCCCCGCCCCCCTCAAGACGGGCTCGAATTGAATACTGAGGGGGGGCCCATTTTTCATTCGTATCCCGAATTGAAGAAGTATGGCGTGTGACTCGGCCCACCACGAGTGGTGGCAAAGGCCCACATTTTTAATGGGGGCCTGGCCCGAAAAAATTGCAGTTTTTTTTTTTTTTTTTTTAAAAAAAAAAAAGATTGTCTAGCTTGAGATATTGAAATTATTATTATAATTAAACATGTCTATATGTTGTCTTTTTCCTTTATCTTTTCCTTAAGCTAAATGCATATACTTATTAATTACTAAAAGCTGTTGTGAGATAGACCTTATATGCTTTTTTATTGAAAAAAATATGATGGAGCAATTGATCTAACGTAGCTAATTAAACTGTATCGTGCAATGATTTTTATTTATTAATGCTAAATAAAAAATTACGGATAAACGATGGTGAAAATCAAATCATATATTATTAAAAAGTTGCTTAGTACATAGAAAAATAATGTAATTCAAAATTTTGAGCTTGGTACCATTTTATTTTTTTTATAAAGAACTCCTCAAGACTAGTTCAAATACATCTCCAGTACAGGTAAAAAGCAATATTTAATTGACTGTTGACTTGAGTTAGGCCAATTAAAGTTCAAATTTGTGCATAGGCATAGGAGTACTATACAAGTTTGATTCCTTTAGAAATCCAAATTTAGTCGGCATATGTTGGTAAAAAGTCCTCAATTGGATTTAAAATATATAATATATATGTTTCAGTCATAAATATCAATACAGTATATACGTAAAAACTTGTAATCTAATTTTAATGGAAAGAACTCAATTAATTTCATTAACATAAACGAGTCGAGTTATAATTTTAACTATGTTGAATAACGTAATAATTTATAATATTACGTATAAACTCATAATTTTGAGCTTTGTCGAGTTGTTACTCTTGAGTAAGCGAGCTTCATATAAACTCGTTTACCAAACGAGCTTATCTGAAGATACAAAATGATTTATTTATTTTATCATGTCTATATGTTGTGTTGCCAAAAAAATAATTGGAAGCCACTGTAGCCTCGTACAGGTTGTGAAGGAATTGAGGAGTCGAGATTGCGACGGTGGTAATACGACATGTTTATCAAGAATCGAACTTCTCGGCGAATTATCTGGATTCGTTAAAGCGTCTGCGAGTCCTGAAGGTCTACAACGACTCGAGTTCCCGCCAACTGGTTGAAACCATGGTCAGAGTACGATTTTGTCGGGGTGGCATACCCGCGTAGGATAGCTTCCTAAACTTACTCCTCCCTCTCTTTTTACCAAAAAAAAAAAGACAAAAAAAAATGGAAGCCAAGCCAAAAAATAAAAAAAATAAAAAAAAAAATCTCAATCAATTCTTAAAGGGATGTATAATTAGCCTCCAATAAAAAAGATGCATTAAAAAAAAATAAAGGGATTGCATAACTAGTCTCCAATCAATAAGCACAATGGAACTCCAAATTTCGGTATCATGGCTGTAACTATTATTCAAAGTGATTATAATAAAATCAAAGTCTTATAGACTTATAGTGATATGCGATTGAAAGAGTTGTAGAAGTGATTGTAATTATCCACTTTAGTATTATATAATAACTATAATAATTCTTATGAAAACTTCAATTAATAGTGGAGCCATGGGTTTGGGCTTTATTAGCTCCACTCATTAAGTAAACGAGCTCCATAACTCAGAACTTGATGAATTGAACTATAAAAATTACATTGGCAAATTTTATTTTCATTTCTTAACTATCCGAGTTGAGGTGAACTTACAAATGACTCGTTTTGATTATCAACTCTTAACTCTAAAATCTAAATATAAACATGAAAAATACAAATCAGTAATGTGCTTACAAAATTTTAATTTCTCTAATATATATATATATATTTTTAAATATATACTAATAAATGAAGAAATATGGAAAAAAATAAAATAAAATAAGGTGGACCCCTCCCTATTTTTCTACAGGTTGACCACTGATGTATATGGTTGGCTAACAACCGTTAGATTTCCACATCAAAAAAACAAAGTTTTATTCTCAACTTAATAAATAAATTAAGAAATAAACAATCTATTATTTTTATATTCATCATGAGTTTAGTATGACTATTTATATCTCCCATTGCTTGGCTCATTCCTTTTGCAGTTTGCTACCAGGCTTGCTAGCTCCTTTTCATCATCACCCCTTTCTGTTTTCATATTTACTTTTAAATCCTTGTAATTTTTAAGTTCCTTTTTTTTTTTTCAATTATTTTTATGGCTTCACCAAAATACCACCCAGATTTTCCAGGAGAAGTCAGGATCTCAGATACGTATCCTCGGCCGCCGCCGGCGGTGCCGCCTCCGCCGCTTCGAATAGCGGCTCCGGCCGCCGTATCCCTCAAGGTAGAGCAGCCGGACTCGGCAGACAGCAAGCTAGCGCCCCCTCGAGGAAACATTCCCCCGCCGACGCCGATGATGAAGCGTTCCTCCACCAAGGACCGCCACACCAAGGTGGAGGGTCGCGGCCGGAGGATACGGATGCCGGCAACCTGTGCCGCCAGGGTCTTTCAGCTGACCCGCGAGCTCGGCCACAAGTCCGACGGCGAGACCATCCGCTGGCTGCTCGAGCAGGCAGAGCCCGCCATCATTGCCGCCACCGGCACCGGCACCGTCCCCGCCATCGCCACGTCAGTCAACGGGACCCTCAAGATCCCCACCTCCGCCGCCACCACCGCCCCCGCCGCCATGTCTTTCTCCACCTCCGTCGTCTCCGAAGATGACCCGGGGACCCGCAAGCGCAAGTTCATCGACGTAAACGCGGCCGCCTCCCACGCGCCGCCCCCATCAATCGCCGCATGCGGCGGCAATAACTTATCCATGTCCACCGCCAATAACTCCACCATTATCTCCGGCAACAACGCCACTGTCACGGCTCCGTTAATGTCGGTGGTCCCCATCCCCGCCATGTGGGCCATCCCGGCCGCTGTGACGTCGTCGAGCCCGAACGCGCCCCCGACGCCGACGTTCCTCATTATCCCGCCGAACCAGAACACGCAGGTCCTGGCCATCCAGCCGGCCACTCTGAGCGGGGCGGCGCCGGCGATTGTCAACTTTCCCTTCGCTGCAGCCGCCACCGCGCGGCCCATTTCCACCTTTGTTGCCGCCGCCATGCAGCAGCCCTCCGGCGGCGGCGTCACCATCGCGCAGCACGTGACCCAGATCAACATGCAGTCGTTTCAGAGCTCGAACTCCGGCGTGTTCATGGCCGACAGGCCGAGCTCGAGCAGCAACCAGCAGGCGACGGCCAAGACTCACATGCTTTCCTGGGAAATCCACGATAAGAAAACCGTGTCGGCGAAGAGAATTAACTGACAATTTTTCGAATTTTTATTTTCCGGGGACGGCGCAAAAGCTCCGGCCGCCGCGTTGGCGCATGCGGCTGCGGCTGGGCTGGGCTGGGTTGGGTTAGCTGGCGGCACAAAGCTTAGGGTTGGCAGGTTCTTGTTGGCCGTAGGGCCCACTGACATTTGGGGTGTAGCAGGGTACGGTGGGGCCCCACACGTGGGGCTGGTGGTTTGTGGTTGTGGTGGTGGGGCCCGTGGGCCTTGGGTGCGGCCGCCTCGAGTGGGCCTTGTTTTTAATCCAGTGGTGGAGCCGAGGAAGAAAGGAGAGATGGGAAAAGGTTCCCTCTCCTTCTTTTGGGGTGGGCTCCAAGAGAGACGTGGCGCGTTAATGGGCTTATGTGATTGGTGGGCCTATTCAGATGGTTTGCTGGTCCCAAATTTTCGATTGTTGTTATTTAGATTGAGTGAGTAGGGTCGTTAATCTTGATTGTACTGAATTTGTAATTGTGTGTGAATTTGAGCATTATCTTTTTGCTTTTGGGTTATTATTATGTTTGATGGAAAATCTTTATGGACGAACTAACTTGTTAGATTTAAAATCAAAGTGGTATTATAATGATATAGGACTTCAATTACGCAAGTAAAAAAAAATGGTTATACCTTTTAAAATAAAGAGAATATATTTTTATTGAAATATATCAATATATGTCAAAATCCATTAAATAATTACTGTTTTCTTACTTATGTCATCTAATGAGCTCATCATACCCATCCAACTTCACCAAATATGAAATAACAAAGTCCCAGTTCAAACATTTTCAAATTCTCAAGATTTCGAAAAACTTATACCAATCTATCATTTTACAACCTTCATGTATTCATATATTTTGGATTGGTGGACGAACTTTTTTATAAAGTTCGAACTTATCGCATAAGGTTTTTCTGGTAGGTTCTCAAATAACTCCCTTGAAATTTTTATTTCAACTATCTTATTAGTTAATTTTACCAAACACTCTTATCTATAAGATAACTTTTAACTACATACTCAAAATTCACTTATAACATAACTAGACTGTTTAAAAGAAAAAAAATTAGGACTTCACTTGAATAATAGAGTAACTAAATAGAGGCCTGTGACATGAGTTGTGAAATAAATCAAGTTATTAGACTATTTAAATGAATGTACCATTTTTTCATAATACGAAATACAAAATCATCACATGACATTTGTTCTCGGACAATTTATTTACTTACTATTTATTTATATTGTGTGGGTGTTTGGTTTTTTTTTATTTATTTATTTTTTTTTTTTTTGTTTTTTGGGCTTTTTAATCTCGCCTGATCTTCTCGTTTGAGTACCTAAAAAAGTGTTGAAAGGAGTCAAACCTAGAGCCAACTCCCACGATCCATTCAGACCCTCGCGTATAATGTATTTATGATAATGAAATACAATGTAGCATAATGATAATCGTACCCTAATATTATAAGAGAACTATTACCTTGTTCCACGCGAACTCTATCATCTTAGAGAACAAAATATACAACTACTTTTTTGAATTCTTGTAATATATCTCTTTTAGATATGAAGATCCTTAGAATCTTCACAATTATACCTTCATTAGATGTCACTTAACTTCTCTATCAGTCCGTTAGGTTGCTCTGGTCATCCTCTATAGCCAAATATGGCCATCTTGTACCAACTCGCAATCCAAGAACTCGGTCGCCTAGGTCCTAGGTCGATAACTCGACCTCTAGCCCTTAGGGACTCACATTGATTTACCTGATCTGTTGCCTCTATGTCGAGCTAAGGGAACTTCAGTTCAGAACCAAGCTATATAAAAGCCCCGGTTCAAGAACGAGTTTTCTATGCTATTAGAACTGGACTAGGCGGTTTTGCTATGAAGCCAACAGTTGGCTCAATAGTGGAGCCAACTTTATATATATAACAAATAAACTTACCATATCAATAGAATTATATTAATGTTATTTAAGTAATCAAAGAATATGATAGATTTATTTGTCGTGTATAGAAGGTTGGCTCCACTATGAAGCTAACTGTTGGCTCCATAGCAAAACCGTTGGACTAGGATGTAATTTTTTTTTTCATCAATTATTTTAAATGAAAACAATAGTTTCAAGGGTATATTTTTCATCACAAACTACAATCATGTATCTATCATGAACTAAATGCGCGATGACCATTATATAATGTCTTGGAGCATGGATAATAATTCAATTTCTCTAGCTTAATTTGGGAAATACAGGTCATTGGGCCATATTTCTGTACCAGCCCGTCCATAGGAAACCCGTGAAGGACGAGGTCCATTTCGAGTGGACCCATTTCAACTCTGCAATATGGTGGTATTGTTGGGCCCAATTTCGTAATGCTCCAGCTGAAACTATCCCCACATCACATTGTTATGATTAATATTATTGTGTGAAGATAAATCAATAGAAAAGAAAAGAAAAAATAAATAAATAATATTGACTGCAGTTTTGTATTTCCAACATATCCAAATCTTCTTGTGGTTGTCAATAATGAAGATAAAATCTATTTCCCAAAAAAAAAAAAAAAGATTATAATAAAAAAAAAAGTGAACTGCCCCTTTTACTACTCACCGCCCCCTCCACCCAATTACGTTTTTGCCATTCACTCTCTCTTTCTCTTCTTTCCCTCTCGACTTTCTACGACTTTTTTAATCGTAAAAAATTTTTCAAAAAAATGCCAAAAAGATACTATGACATTGACAAGACATTCAAGATTGACCATGTATTTTTTTATATTTTTTTACTTTATAAATAATTTTTTAAAATATATATATATATTTTTTTTTTGCGTGTCCGGCCGAAGGTGGGACGCGCACGGTCGCGTCCAACCGGATGGGCCGGATGCACACAGTTGCGTCCAGCCAGGCCGGTTGGACGCGACCATGTGCGTCCGACCTGTCCAGTTGGACGCGACCGTGCGCGTCCCACCTGTTTGGCCGGACGCGCAAAAAAAAAAATAATAAAAAAAAAAAATTTGAAATTATTTATAAAATAAAAAAATATACATGGTCAATCTTCAATGTCTTGTTGATGTCATAAATTTTTTTTGGCATTTTTTCGAATTTATTTTAACGACTAGTACAACACCCGTGTATTACACGGGTGCTTGCTAATTTTTTTCTTAAAATCTAAAATTAATGAGAAAAAAGTAGTTTGAAAATTTAAATACCTTTTATAAGATTATATATATTATTATATATTTATTATGACACTTTTTATTTGTGCAACTTACTTGTGTTATATTATATTAAATTTTTTAACTTACAATATATAACTACATTACCTATAAATATATCAATTGAGAAATAATTTTATTTATCTAATGAATATTAATAAATATTATTATTTTTATTATTATAAATATAAATATAATTTATTTATTTCATATATACAATATGGATGTCAAATCAAAAATCATCAAAAGATGATTAATTCGATATATTATATATGTAAAACGGATAAGAAATACAAAAATTATCAACGTTTAAAATACATTTATAATTCAATAGCTTATTGAAGGAAACAAATCAAAATTCAGGGATATATTAGTCACTTAGTACCTCACTATATAAAATTACATAAAATTAAAGGGTTATATTAGTAAAAGTAATATTAAAATACCTAAGTTAGCTAAATAATATTTATGGAATACCCGAACCTAGATTATTAATTATTAATATATCAATATTATTTATCCAAACCTAATTACGAAGCATGATTCTTCGCCAAATAAAATTCCGAAGCACCAGAAGCAGCCACGTATGCTCAGCGCATTCGAGAATTATATATAGGGAGGATTAAAAGAGTCGTAGAAAGTCGAGAGGAAAAGAGTAGAGAGAGAGAGTACTAAAGGGCAAAAACGTATAAGAGGGACGGTGACTAGTAATAAAGGGGTGGTGAATAGTAATGCCCTAAAAAATATCCATGGTATTAATTGCCTCAAAATTCCACAAGAACAGGAAAAAAGATTTTACATCATCCAACTTGTTCAAAAATACAAGATCACAACAATATATACAGAGTTTGTGTCCAAGTCCACAATTACATATTAAGAACAAAAAAACTTTACAAATAGCAGAAAAATGGCCTTCATACAGTACAGGGAAAAAAAAAAAAAAACTGAGTTATCCATTGTTGAGTTGTTGTACATTACTCTTTGAGTACCTTAAATAGTTAGGTTCTCTTGTATCGCGAGAAACGAGCCGACTATATTCCCACCAACGTCCGGAAAGGATTCGCTACCTGGAAGAGGCTTGACTTTTCCCTGTCGGTCAACCTCGACTGGGTATTTAAGCAAATGTCCCCTCATCTCGGTTATGTCGGGCGACGCGTATTGTTCCCAGTTAGTCTCCCCCATTGATCTTACACGCCGAACACATTCAAGTGATTCGGGCCGAGTAAAGCACTCCTCCAAGAACCCGAGATGCTCGGCCCATAAAGACATTCTGTATCCGTATATCTATAACAAAATAACGAGATTTGGTATTTGGCAAAGGAAATGTTGGAAAAAAATAAAAAATGCTGTTGATTATTAGTCAGTTATTTTGCTTTTCGGAAGTTTTTTTTCTGAATGTATGCATT